AGGAGCTCCCTGCACCCGGAGCCAGCTCGTCTCCGGAGGACGAGGCCGATGCAGGTGAGTGGGGCTGTAGGGACGAGGAGCCGAGGAGCAGGACTTGGGTGCTGGCACCCAGGGGTGCCCCAGGGTCCCGGTCCCACGTGCAGGTGGTCCCAAACAGAAGGAGAACCGGGGGTGCCCCAAGCACCCCCCACTGCACAGCCAGACGCCAGCCCCCTGCCCATCACCTCGGGCTCGTGGAGCGTCTCCAACGGCTGCTCCCACCTCTCCCAACCCCAGCGGGGTCAGGACACCCCAAAAAACTTCCTGCTGCCTGCAGGACCCGTGGCAGGGCCTCTCCCTGCCCCGGCCGGAGCCACCGGGCTCTGCCACACATTAACCAGCTGTTTATCCACCAAGCGTCGCGCCAGGGACAGGTCCCCTCCGCGTCACCGCCACCTCCGGGGGATCTGGCAGTGCTGAGGGGTCGCCAGCTCCCGTGAGCCCCGAGAAAGAGGCTCAGCCCGGTCAAACAGGGGAAAACCAGGTAGGGTGGGACGTGACAGCAAGCCCCAGGCGTCGGAGGAGGATCAGAGCACGCGGTGTGCCCGCACCTGCCTCACCAGTACACCCCCAGTTCCCAGTTCTGGGACTCGTGTGCCCCCCAACCCTCAGGGCTGCAGAAACCACTTTTCCCCCCCTCTCCAGCACGGTCGGCTCAGCCCGTCCCGGCTGCCAGGAGCGGTTGGCAGCCAGAGCATCGCCAGCAGGGCCGGAGCACGTTTCCACCGCGGACATCTGCCCCGTCGGCCGGTAATCCAGCTGGCAGAGGAAGGCGGGGGGGCCGCCAGCCCTCGGCGGCGTCACCGTGCCAGCCAGTACAACCGATGGTGGTTGTTCGACGGCCGCAGCCACGGCAAAGGGAGCTGAAAGGTGCTAGACGGGGCGGGTAGGGCGGCGATTTCTTCTTTTTTGAGAAAAAGAGGAGAATTCAGACTCTGCTCTGCCCCCCCTCGGTGGCAGCTTGCACTTACTAGCAATCGCAGTGTCGGTAACGTCGAGTCCTTGCGGGGACCAGGCACAGACACATCACCCCCCAGCGCATCAGCCTCTGGCAACTGGCACCTCCCACAGGCTAAAAGGGGAGAAAAAAATTAAAAAAAAACATTAAAATTTCACACAGAGCAGTTTCAAAAGGACCTTTGCAAAAAGGCTCTTTGACTAACGAGTGCCCAGCAACCAGCTTGTTAAAATAAGCCCCCAAGAACTCAAATCCCCAGCCCTGACGAAGCACAAGGGGAGCTCAGCTTTGAGCGTGGCTGCACCCCCCCTGCCGCACCCGGGGGAAGGGGGGGTGTGGGGTGTGTGTGAGCCCCCCCAGCACCCAGGGAGCAGCCAGAGGCCCTGGTGCAGCTAGGGGGAAAGGTGGGACGTGGCTGGGAGCACGTTTCCCAGCTTCGAGGGAAGCTGGACGCAGGTTTTTGGTGGGGCAGGAGGTGCTGGTACCACCCGGGGGTGCTGGTATCACCCGGGGGTGCTGGTACCACCCAGCAGTGTGCTCCAAACCCTCGCTTTAGTGGGGAGGGCAGAGGCCAGAGGCACGCAGGACAGTTTGGGTGCTCTCTGCTCCCCTCGGCCGCTCGCACCCCTGCCGGGAGTTCCCTCAGGGATCCTCTCCGAGGGCAGCTGGAAGCTTTTAATTTAATTTTTTTTTTGCCAACCGCAGCTGCCCCGGGGTGGAAGATGAGAGCTGCAGTGGTTTGAAAGCAGTTTGAAAAAAAAAAAGCTCCGAAGGCGCAGCCGGGGCCTGCGGGGTTTGGCAGCTCCGTGCCCGCAGGGGCTGGTGTTTGCCGACACCTCTCGGGTCCCAGCTCCGCTTTGCTTCCAGGGGACCCGCTGGATGAAGCCGAGACAAGCCAAGGGGTGAGCCACCCCCCAGGCTCTGCATGGATTGGAATGGGGAAACCCGCCTGCGCTAAGAGCCTGGGGCAGCTGGAAAACCCTGGCTTCTTCCTCCTCCGAGCTCTCTTCCTCCTCCTCTTCTGCAGGCATGGTAAGGAACCGCAGGGGCAGAGCCGTGCCGGAGCCCCATCCCTGGCAAGGGCACCTGCGGGAGCCGCAGGGGGGGTACAGAGCTCCCGGGAGGGGACCGGAGCAAGCGGATGATCCTCCCCTCGCTGAGCCCACTGCAGGCACCACGGCCACCAGCACCACCAGCCCCTGCCAGCGCAGCCCCCTGCCCTGGGAGAGCCCTTCAGAGCTCCGTGAGCTCCCAAGATAAGACAGGGAAGGGCCCAAGCCCACCGAAAGTGCCCCTTGGGGCAGACCCGCAGCCTGCAAACCCCCAAATTCGCATCCCAGCGCCTCGCCTCGCCCTCCTGCCAGGGCAGCCATCCCTCGGAGCCCCTCTGCTTAATGAGCTGAACGATCCCCGCCGCGGCGAGTCCGGTAGCTCCCCGGGAGCGGCGGCACGTGGCCTTTGCAGCCCGGTGAAAGCACGTTGGAGGGGGAGGATGTCCTTGGGGCAGTCGAGCTTCTTGCGAAAGAGCGGCCGGCCGCCCGGCCAAGGTTGAAATGGGAAGAAGGGGTTTCCCAGCTCAGAAATTCCCGTTTGTCCCCTGGCAAGCCTTGGGGCAAAGAATCTCTGTCTGAGCCACGTCCCAGGGCCACTGTCGCAACAGCTGCCCGGGCTCTGGGCTGCGCTCCCGCCCCAGGTACCATCTCGCATCCCAAGTTGTTTCAGGACACCCCTTGAGCCCCGCGTCCGCCCTCTGCGCTGTTTCGGCAGCTGGCAACCCCGGGTTCATCCCCCTCAGGCAGCGGGTCAATTAAACTGGCCACTGAGTTCGTTAAAACTGGGAGATAAGCGCTTCCAGAAAGCGTCTCCATGGTGAGATGCGGACGGGCCAGGCGGCGGGAGGTGGTGGGAGGAGAAGGGGCTGCCCCCAGCCCTAGCGGGATGCTCCGAGCCTCCCCATCTCTCCCAGTTTCTTCCCAGTGCAAGATCCTGCGCTGCAACTCGGAGTACGTGGCGGCCACCCTCAACCTGCGCGGCTCCAACCGGAACGCGGCGTACTGCAACGCCCTCCGCTCCTACTCCCACTGCACCCGCAAGACGGCTCGCACCTGCCGCGGCGACCTGGCCTACCACTCCGCCGTCCACGGCATCGAGGACCTCATGATCCAGAACAACTGCTCCAAGGAGGGGCCCACGTCGCCGCCCCGACCCCGGCCCCCGGCCCCCAACCATCAGGGCTTCGAGTCTCTCGATATCTGCAACTATGAGAAGAGTTTTCTCTACAAGCACGGCCAACCCCCCAGCTACCAGCACTGCGCGGCTTTCGGGGACCCCCACATCCGCACTTTCCACGACGACTTCCACACCTGCCGAGTGGAGGGCTCCTGGCCTCTCTTGGACAATGACTACTTGTTTGTGCAAGCAACCAGCTCTCCGGTGGCGAAGGGCTCCAACGCTACGGTCACCAGCAAGGTAACGCTCGTGCACGGGGCTTGGCAGCAAATTCGTTCACCTCCGGGCCGCAGCGATGGCTCAGGGCGCTCCTCGCCCTCCCTGAAACGGCTGGGGAGGGCAGAAGGGGCTTCAGGTAAACCCAGGTGGGAGCAGGAAGGAAGGTCTGCAGGAACGAGTGGGATGAAGGTCCTCGAGGGGACCAGAGAGGCCTGAAAACGCTCCTGGTGCTGCCTGGGGATGGGTCTCTGCGTGATCTGGGGTTACCTCCACGCGCTCTGTCCAGGCTTGGCTCCGTCGCAGTTTTCAGTGGTTTAAATGGTCTTAAAGAAAGAAGGAGACAAAGGAAGGGAAGAAGGAAACATCGCTGCTCTCCCCAGAGGGCTGCAGCAGCGTGGGAGAGGCGGTTTGGGGGCAGAGGGCCCTCGATAGCCGGTGCCTGGGGTGGGGACCCGGTCACGACTCTGACGCCCGGCAAGTGAGATCAAACCCCTTCCGATCTCCTCTCCGCAGCTCACCATCATCTTCAAGAACATGAAGGAATGCATCGACCAGAAGGTCTACCAGGCTGAGATAGACAACCTCCCGGCAGCCTTCGAGGACGGCTCGGTCAACGGGGGCGAGAGGCCGGGCGGGAGCAGCTTGGCCATCCGGGAGCGCAGCCCCGGGCGGCACGTGGAGATCCACGCTGAGTACATCGGCACCACCATCGCCGTCCGCCAGGCCGGCCGCCAGCTCTCCTTCTCCATCCGGGCGGCCGAGGAGGTGGCGCGAGCCTTCACGGAGGAGCAAGACCTGCAGCTCTGCGTGGGAGGTTGCCCCCGCAGCCAGCGCATCTCCCGCAGCGAGTGCTGCCGCGGACGCGAGACGGCCGAGACGGCCCGGGCGCTCTGCAAGGAGATGCTGCCTGTGGAGGACGTCTACTTCCAGTCGTGCGTCTTCGACGTGGTGACCTCCGGGGATGCCAACTTCACCATGGCGGCTCACGGGGCCTTGGAGGACGCCAGGGTCTTCCTTCCCAACGCTGAGAAACTCCACATCTTCCAGGCTGGGGCGGGCTGCCCGCACGTCTCTTCTTCCTTCCTCCTCCTCTTCCTCACCTCTGGTCTTTGGGCTGTTTTGTGGCACTTTTAACTCTGGCTGGCATTGCGTCCAGCCGGTGCGGAGGGGTAACCCGAGAGAGCTGCTGACTCAAGGCCCGTGCCTGGCGGCTCAGGAGCGGGGCCTTGCCGAGGATCCGGTGTCGCTGCGGCAATGAGGAACCGGAGGCCCAGACCTCTGCGGGGGGAGCGCGGGAGATGGACGATGGTCAGACGCCGTTTGCATCCACGGCTCTCACACCTGGTTCCTCTCCCGAAGGCAGATGACGGGTTTTTTTCTTTCTGTTGGATTCCGACGCATTTCTTTGTTCTAAAGACGAGGACGTTGCACCCGTACCAAAGGAAAAGAAAGACACGGGGTGAAGACGCATTTAGAAAACCTCTCTGCCCCTCAAAGCCTTTCCATAAACTGGCTTTACACCTTCCTTCCAGCTTTACTACAGCAGAATGTACTCAGGAACCTTACAGAGTCCGAAATACCGAGCTCAAAGCCCAGACCCCAATTTTTAGCAGCCCAAAACTGTTGCTCGGTGGATTCGGGGCCCCCTCGGCCCAGCTGCTCCCGAACCCATCCAAGAGACGAGCGAGGCACTAAGCTGGTTGGTGGAGTGTCGTGACCAAGGTTTGAGCTTTGTGAGCTAAAACCCAACCCCCTCGCACTGTATTCTCCTCTCCCTGAATTAGTAACGTGCTAATTTCCAGCGACGGGAGCTGCAGAGCGTCAGGTCTCTGACATTTCAGGCTACTGTTGCTATTTTTCCTTGTGGTCTTGGCACCTGTCTAGGACTCAGTATAGCCAGTTCTGTACTTTGGACCAGCGTTGAGTTTCAGTGAGGAAAAATACCCCTTGGTATTCCTCTCCCTTGGGCCCAACTTTGTCCCAACCCCATTCAAAAAGAGCCCAGACTGTGGGTTGCACTTGCAGAAGAGAATTAATAATGAAAACGTGGAGCTGGCAGGAAGCCGTATGACTCTATGGATGAGGAGGGGAACTGCTAGCAGATGTACATAAATGCAGAGGTGAGGCCAAACGAGATGTTTAATATATTTAAAGAGGTTTTAAGGAAAGCAGCTAGAGTTCTATACGCTAAGAAATATTTTCCTTATGCAAAAAGGTTTGGGTTTGTTGGTTTGTTTCGGTTTTTTTTTTTAAATAAAGCAGGCTCACGTTACAAACTTTGCCATCCCTGTCCCGTGGAGCCATAGGAGGAGCCTTGCAAAAGCCCCGTGGGGGCAGAGAATGAAGCTGGCAAACACGGCGGGGGGGGGAAAGAGAATTGCAAGTTCATCGAGGTACTGAGGATCTGTCGAGCCGTAAGGGGAGGTTTTAAAACTCGTGGTTCAGTATTTCTGCAGTTTCTCCGGTCAGTTTTGGTTTATTTTTCCTCTGGTTCTTCCGCCAAGGGCACAAAGAGCGAACGCAGAAACATTTCTCAGATTATCTCAGCACGCTTCCTCCTCCGACAACGCACTTCGGAACGCATGGTGACTAGCGTGAGAGTTTCTCTGTTTCTTGTACGGTGCTCTCGCTAATCCCCGAAGGTTTTGACATTAAAGGTGTCTATTTTTGAAGTCTTCATTTCCTGTCATCTGTCTCTTTATTTCTCTGGTCGGCAGCAGCAGGTGAAGATAATAATATCTCGCCTTCCACCCACGGCTCCTTTTACTCCGGGGCACTTCGTGGTCTATATATACACGCACTGAACGAGCAGGAGCCCGGCGGCCCCGCTCCGCCACGGCGTGGTGGCAACATTCCCCCCAGGGATAAAACCCTGGGGAGGCTGCGGGGCCGAGAACGCCGGAGCCCCTCCCAAAAACAGGATTCACCTGATCCAGGTAGCCACCTCCAGGGTGCCAACAGCAGCTCCTCGACAGCAGGCAACTGCCAGAAACGGCCTCACGGGCAGATTTAACGATGAAAAATAGAATTATCCTTTAGATTTTGGCCAACGGAGCCAATCAACAAGAATGCCGTGGGGAAAAGGGGGGGGCTCAAAATGAGGATCTCGCTGGGTGATGAGCTTTGGAGGTGAGTGGGGGCCACACTAGCCCCCCAGCTTTGTGGCACCTCCGAAGTCATAAAATGAGGACGGAAGAGCCCCCAGAGCCCACCGGCAACGTGAAGGTGGGGAGGCGATCCTTGGTGTTGTGCCCAGTTCGGGGCACCGCAACACGAGAGAGATCTGGAGGGGCTGGAGCGAGGGCAGAGGAGGGCGACGAGGCTGGGGAAGGGCTGGGGAATAAATCCTGTGAGGAGCCGGGGAAGGAGCTGGGGGTGTTCAGTGTGAGGAGGAGGAGGCTGAGGGGAGCCCTCATCCCTCTCTGCAGCTCCTGACAGGACATTGCAGAGAGGCCGGGGCTGGGCTCTGCTCCCAGGGGATCAGGGACAGGACAAGAGGGAACGGCTGGAAACTGCCCCAGGGGAGGGTCAGGCTGGGCAGGAGGAGAAAATGTTTCACCAAAGAGTGGTCGGAGAGCGGAGGGGGGGTGTCCCCATCCCTGGGGGGGTTTCAGGGCCGTTGGGATGAGCTGTGGGGGGATGCGGGGTAGGGGAGAGCTTTGTAGAGTCGGGCTGAGGGTTGGACTCGTTGATCCCGAGGGGCTTTTCCAACCTCAGTGATTCTGGGATTCTGTGATCCTGCGCGAGCCCTGGGCACGGTCGGGAAGTGGCGCAGCAGAGCCCGGCCCACCACGTGTCTCGTAGCATCTTGTCAGCTCCAGCCCCACCGAGGCATGTGGCCAGTGCTAAGCCGGAGCTTTGCAGGGGGCTGTTCTCACTCTTCCCAACCTGCTCACCAACGTCCCACCCGGGATGGAGACAACGAACTGGGCTCCGAGGGCTTTGCTCCTGTTGGAAAGAAAAGTGGAGTTTCCTGGGTCCGCCTGCGAAAGGTGGAGTCAAGACCCCTCACACATCACCCACCTGGCAAACCCCAAAGCCCGTGAAAATCACAAAATAGCTCAAGTTGTAAGGGACCCAAAGGGACCATCGAGTCCAACTCCCTGCTCCTCACAGAATTACCCAAAACCCATCTGACTAAGAGCATCTTCCCCGAGGAGAGGACTTTGGCCAGCACCCTCTGGGAAAGGTGAGTCGGACCATCGCGAGCAGCTCACGGAGGTGTAATTCTTGGTTGTAGCGGGTACTGGGGAGTCACAGCCAAGGCCAGCTCCCCCCTCCGATGCCTAAACCTGAGCTGCAGCCTGGCCGGGGTCCAGCAACGCCGAGGGAACGTGCGCAGCGTTGAATGGGTTTGCGCCCGTTCTCATCATTGTTCCGCGCTCGGCGTCCTCAGCTTAATGATTGCAGAGGAAGCGAGACCTTTCAAAGACGTGCTAAAGTCTGCAAGTGGAAAAGAGACCTTTCCACCCCTGACAGATTGCAGTCTGAAATAAAGAAGTGGAACGTAGGCGTGGATCCAAGCCCCACTGATGTCAACAAGAGTATTTCCATTGACGTCAGTAGACTTTGGAGCGAGCCCTTAAATTTCCTCGCGTATGTCACCTGCTAAAAACGACAGTGGCAACACCGGCCAGCATTTTTAAAAGCGAGTCCATTTTGGGCCATTTTGAATCCAGATGCCCAACTTGGGTGGTTGGAGCAAGGGAATTCCCAGTCTTGTGCTGGTAGAGGGTTATCAACAGCAGCCGGCTGCCGGGTCTTGCAGGAAGACGTGACAAGTCTGGGACAATCTGCTCCTCTTACATCCTGTCTCGCTCTGATTTCTAGTAGTCAGAGAACTTGCCAAGGCCTTGGGGCACGAGGTGTGGTAGCCAAACCTGAATCGTCATTAGCAGCTGCTGCTCCGTGTGCCAGAAAGCAGCCTGGTCACCAGAGGCGGCCGGAGCCGCGGCCACCTGAAGCTGCCGAGCCTCTGACGTGCGAACCAGAGCTCCCGGATCGGGACTTCAAAATGGCAGCATTTTCTCATAACCACCCAAACGTGTGCGGCTTTTCTCGGCACGTTCCCTGCCACGCGCTTTTGTCAGCAAGGCCAAGGCGAGAACTTCGCCCACAAAGTTCAGGGTTAGATTCACCTTCCCCGTGTTTGTAACGGCCAACGCCTCGAGCCGCGGCACCGCCCGGGAACAGGAACGGGGACGGTGGCTGGAACGGGCGCGTCTCGGCGTGGAACGCTTCCTCCCCTGTTTGGCATGAAAAATAACCTCGAATCACAGAAAGAAAGAAATACTGCCAACGGCATTTGGGCAGCAGAGGCACGGCAGGCAGATCTCTGGAGGGCCACCCTGCTCGCGTCCTCACGCCGCGGGTTTCGGCCCCTCGCAGCCATTCCTCCTTCTCGTAAATACCTAAAAGATTCACTCTCGTTCTCACCGTCACAAATACACACGCTCAACAAAACACGAGGAAAAAAAAAACAAAAACGCAGCTTCACCTGCCTCTCCTTAAACTTTGTACCCGGGACTGGGCAGAGCAATACACCAGTAAGGAGACACCAGTACCATCATCAATCTGTCGGCAGGGGGAATCCAACCGACCAGCCCGCAGGGGCGGGGGGGAGGAAAATCCCTCCCGTGTCATTCCCGGCGAGGCCTCTAGATGTCCACAGAGCCCAAAACATGGGAAGGGCTTTGGCGACGTCCATCCTCACCCCAACCAGCACCAAACTGCTCCCCGAAAGGTTCCAGCGCTTGGCCTCGTTGCCTGGGAGATCAGTGAGGGTGATGGAACTCCGGGAGGGGATTGCGTGTGCGTTGTCCCTCCACAATTTTACCCCCCAATCTCGTTTTCTAAATTAGGGAGCTTAATACTCGGGGTGAGCATCTCTGTGAGGATCCCCTTGCTCCCAGGTCCCCCCTCAAACACGCTGGCGGCCTCAGAAGAGCTTTGGCTGCTGAAAAGTAAAAAAAAAAAAAAGTAAAAATCCTCATTTCTTTGTGTCCAAAATCTGCAAAACCTGCCGGGGCCTTTCAAGGGACAAATGGTTGAAGAAGGAAACGTTTTGCTTTATGATCCTTTTCCCTCCCTTCATAACAAATTTAAAACCCGGCGGACACCGCAGAGGACCTGGCAGGCTGGCCTGGCAAAGAGATGAGCTGGAAGAAGCGATTTGAGAAGAGGAAGCCTTGGCCAAGGAGCCGAGAGCCGCGGGTTCCGCCGGCCCCGCCGTGTGCCGGGAGCCCGGGAGGGGTCACGCTCTCCCCAGCTTGGAGGAGAGAACTGGTGTAACAGAGTCCTCCTGCGCAGACCAGATGATAGACACAGGACGTCCCAAACTCTGAATTCAAATTCCTCCTTGTTTATGGGCGACCGAGTTCAGTCTCTTGTCACAGGCTGCTGACACTTCACTGTGGCTTTCCCCT